CATTTGAATAACAGTATGCTCTTGTATGAAATGGTGTAGCGATTGTTCAAGACATTGCAAGCGCTGGGACAAACAGTTCAATATATAAAAACATGCCTACTGATATGTCATAAGTAATACGTTTATATAAGTATTAAAGTGGTCAGTGGCCAGCTATACTGGTGGCGGGCGTAACGGAAAGCCCTGCCGTACCGCCCAAGCTAAATGCCACGGTAGTTAATCGGTGATCGGGGGTGCAGGCGCACTGGCCGACCTTTTAGAGGCCCATTCTATAACAGAATCGTGAACCGTCTCAAAACACAATTCGTCCCAAAAGCTGTGACGATCTGATATATTGAAAACGGTTAGTTGTGGCGAAATATGCTGATGTTGTTACTAGTACTCTAACTGTGGTCAAAAGGGTAGGTTTACGTCACGCAGTTAGCATTTCCGCAGACGAATCCCCTCCGCCTCCGAAATGGCCCTGTAAAAAATGGTTCCAATGTCTAATTTTCAAGAGCGGGGTAGACATTGCCCATCGACACCAGGCAACGATTCGTCGCCGTTTGATGCAACCGAAAGACATACCGCCACCCACTGAAACCTCAGCAGTCGTCTGTCAAATACGTTGTAACTATGGAGACTGCAGCTACGTTGGGGAAACCGGAAGGAAATTGTAGACGTGCCTACACGAGCACAGCTTGCGACTCGCATTGGGGAAACTGGCCACAGTTTTGACTTCCAAGGAGCAGTCGCCTTAGGCCGGGGCACCCCAGGGACAGGACGTCTCACACTTGAGGCTTGATACTCAGATGCCAACTCCATCAACAGGCATCTAGATCTTCCTGCGGCCTATAAAGTCCGTCAATGCATATGCCATGCCCAGGACAAGACGGTCACACGGAGCTCAAGAATACAGAGCAAACACGGCCCGTTGACTAATTCACCAAAAAGGGGAGCACAAACGCAACCGACCCCAGTTGGTGTGAGAACACACAACACAGGAGGCCACCAACATTCACAAACAACGGTCAGATAACCAAGGCAGCGAAAGAAAAAAACCGATCAGCCCAGGGCCAACTAATTCGGTCTTCTAATCAAAATTCTGGTCGATTTTTGAACTAAACGCTTTGAACATGGAGAGCCAGCCAAGCTCCCCGAAACGTCAGCAATCCCCTTGATCCGGCGAGCACTTCATTTTTCTCAGATGTAAATTTATTTTGTGAATCCAGTGATTACGGTTTCGAAGGGCGATCGAAATGATATCGCGCAGCTATCAGACGTAAATAATAACAACAGAAGGCGGGAATCACGAACAAGGTGAATGTCCAGTCGGTCAGTACAGCCCCTCCGATTGGATAGCGTTTATAATAAGGAACCTCATTGCAATAGGTCACACGCAGCTAACAGAGAACTTGATCAACACGACCAGGCGTGAGGAACCCCACACTAATGAAGGCCATCTGATGACACATGGTCCTCGCCACAGAGGCTCCCAAACCCAGTACTGTCATCATATCATTACTTTCCGGTTACGTTTAAGGACCGCAGGTCAGTCACAATGTGTTCACTTGTCTGGGCTCTATTGCCGACTGGCTGTTCTAATCCATCAGTCCGAAAGGAGACAACTGTTCGAATCCTAATCAAAGCACCTCGACACGCACGCCAAGCAAGTCGAGGCTCTGGACAACCGATGGTGCTTCCGAACGCAGTCTCTCAAAGATCTCTTCAGTGTACGATGAACAGGTACGACCACAGTTGAAACACGGTAGTTAGTATGTTCGCCAGAATGATTGTTCCAGACCTATCTTGGAAATAACCTGGTAACGGAAGTGTCTAACCCGCAGATGTTAACATTGTCATTGTGGTTCAAGAGATCCATGGATGAAGTTGGTTAGGCAGTCTCTTGGACCTCTCATTACCAATAATAGGCCTCTATTGCCGCTGATGCCCTGTCTATAAGCTTAGGGAAAGGCAAGAAGGGCGCAAAAGAATAGAAACTCTGCTCTTTAATGCCAGAAGCGTGCACACCCTTAGCAAGAATGAAGATGAAGAAAATAAACTATGCAATCTGAAGTAAATGTTTGGTGAGGGGGGAAGTGTCAGTGCTCACAGAGTGGGACTTTGTTCATTGAACGGGCCAGGTCGAACTGACAAACATCGTCCAGACTACCTCCAACCCGCTCACCAAAGTAGTCAAATATATACAAATCCCGCATTTGGATAGCCACCGAGGACAGTACAGAGTCCAAGACCTGGTTGCATTGTGCAAGGTTGAGAATGCGCAGGTGTGGTTGACTTGTGGGAAGATTAATGAAAGACTCTCCGATAATCACGTGATTTCCCACGAGGCTGAGATGTTGCAGGCTGTGGCAGGCCTCCAGAATGCGCATAAGGCCGACATCTGTAACACTCCAGCACCAGTTGAGAAAGAGGGCCACTAACAGCGGCCCACAGCACTCACAAACGGCCTTTACGACCGCATCGTTAACAGCAGGGCAGTCAGTTAGGTCAAGATGCCTTAAATAACGCAGTTGGGATTGTCGAGCGAGAGTGAAAGTGTCACAGAGGGCCTGGCTGGTAAAAAGACGTCCTTTGCGTAAGGCGAGCTCCACCAAACTAGCCAAACAGGCGATGTGGGGCAGACAAGAATCGTCAATGTACTCCGCGAAGCTGATGGATAAGATCTCAAGGCCGTCATCACGAAGGTATTCGAGAAATCTGGGGCTGTCGGGGAGACGACGTGAGGAAACGGAGGGAAGACCCAAACGGGCAGCAATCTTGGAAATACGGATGTCCAGTAGGCGGGAGAGAAAGTTGGAGAAACCGGCTGCGCTCAATTCGAAGCCATCCAGCCAGATACAGCGTAGAATACCATTCTTAACGGCGCTTCCCTCCAAAAGAGCTTCAAGAGCCTCATCTGTGATCCATTGAATTCCATCCAGATTGAGACGACGTAGCAAAGGAAGACCTCGAGTGATCTCTTGCACTCCTTCGTTGCCGACATTGGTGCAGTGTGACAAATTAAGGGCTTCGAGACGTTTGCAACGTGATACGAGTATTCGGAGAAAGCCGCTCTGAAATGAAAAATCATGAACAATATTTGAATCACGTTATGAATAATACCGTTTTGTCTTCTATGGGATGCAGCTTTGCTAGACCTACAATAAATCGATCTTTGAAACTTATTAAGAGGTTAAAACAATTGTAATAATTTTCAAGCGCACATGATAATTTCAACTCGCAAATCAAATACTCTCGGTTTCTACTCAAAAAGATAATCCTTTCCATTTTAAGTCTTCATCAACAGAATATCTTTTCAGGTAAACTAGTTTGGCGAGGATTACGGGGTTGCATTTTGGCAAATGAGGACGAGGTAAAACTGGTCCAAAGTAGTGCTACTCTTTGGCACTCCAGTGCTTAGTGTGACCCTTCAAACTGACGCTATTCTCGCTTCCATGACGGTTTGTCTGACCGGGAAGCTTTCTGATCAGAGCTTCACGTTGTTGTTGCGACTCCATTTTTGCGCCATTCTGAGAGGAACCCTACTTTCGCCTCCTGTAACTGTTAATTGCAGAAACGGCTCACAGCCCGAATGAATAGTTGCTCATTGATCAAGACATGTATCAGCCCATCTGCGTGGATTACTATTCATTCCTCAACACCGGCTCAATCCCTTGCTGAGCGATTTTTGCAGATATCATTTGCCAACTAGATCTAGACAGTTGATTTTAGATTATACCAGCGGTAGTGGAGATCAATTCACGATACCGAAGTCTAAAATTTTTTTGTTAAAAGTGCTGCATCCACATCCCAAACAGAATTAAAACAAAGTTTGCAACACTTACAGATACAGTAGACAATGACTGATATCTAGGTAGACGTTAACAAATAGACGTTATTTTATCTCATGATAGATTCGTCGTCGCTTGGTCAACACTTTCAACTCGTTCCGATAGTGTCTTATATTTGATGACAGTTTGTAACCTAATATGGGGTGGGAAAAGTGACTGGGCCGGTCTATGTGGCCTGAAGAGTTATGACGTTTAAGAATACACATTTAAATTACCTATCAGCATGTTCTTCTGGTGCTAGGCGGGCCGGGAAAGGAGAACAGCAACCATATTCTGACAGTTGACTGAACTTCAATCTTTAGCGGTGGGTATACCACTGTTGACTAAGGAAATACCGGTAAGCTGTACTTTCAACAGACCAGGGGGTGGTCGCTGTTGTCGTCATCACCAAATAGCAGTGGCATCAGGAAAAATTCTGCCGCAAAGATGCAATTTTCGAACTCAATAAATTCGCCAATAACATTGCACAGATTGTCTGGCCCACTCCATTCGAGGTTTTACATCCATACAAACCGTAGGTTACTAATCTCAGAAGCGTGAATTTCATTGTGCAAGCAAAACAGAATTAATCTAAACTATGTGGGAACAATGGCTCCGTAAATCAGATATGAGAAGGGCAGGTAATAACTGACCAAGTACCCCTGTCCTTAGCGATACTGACTCAAGACTAGGGAACTCGTGAGTATAATGCTAGTCAACCTTTTAACGGATGAAATTAGAATGCATTGGTATAAATTCGGTCTGGCGAGTTTCATTTGGCCTTGTACACAAGGTCTTCATTTCGTAGGTTATGCTAGGAAGGGAAAAGGCACACCAGGGAAGAGACCGCATGGACAAAAACACTTACATCAATGACCGTGCAGCCCTCCAAGTTTAAATGACGCAGAGCCACGGGAGCATTTCTGGCAAGATTTAGAGCCGCGCGTTCGTCCAGATCGCAAAATCCCATGTTCAAGCACTGAAGGTGCTCCAGTCGACAAACATCCTGCAGCACATATGGCAAACACTTGAGAGCTGTGCACCTGAATACGCGCAAGAGGGGTCGCTCGTTTATAAGCCGTGCACACACGGAAGATGGGGTTTGTCCCTTAACTTTAAGAACTCTTCCAAGAGTTGGATGTAGGGCAAGGCGTCGCCATAACCGACAAACAAGCGGAATGGTTCTTATTAGCTCGAAGGGGGGCAAAAACTGGAAAATGTCCAACAGCAGCTCGCTGGGAAGAACTGAAATGGAGGGACCACCGCGGCGTCCTTGGTCAATTTCTGCGTCCGCGCCCAAAATCGCGCTGTTGGAAGAGATGCCAGTGTGTAAGTTGGGTCTGAAAGAGAATAGGTTTGTTAGTGGAACGTCTTTCTTGCGTTTTTGTACTTGGAAGAGCAAAACGCTCATTAGAGGTATTGATCCACGTGCCTTCAGAGTGCGGGTGGTCCGGTAACGGTGAAGGAGAAAGAAGTATACTGCCGAGGTTTGGAACGCCGGTGGACGCCGGTAACAAGTTGCAGGTGAGTTCGCTATAAAAATTAAACGTTTGCAAGTTTTTGAAGTCAAGCCGGAAGCTTGTCCTCAGAATGACTTCATTCTACATCAATAATGGGATCGGTGTTCTCTAAAGTTTAAACTACAAGCAGTAGGTGTCTGCATATTTATCCTCTAAATCTAAGACACAGCGAAAAAACCAAACCACTTCCATTAATGTGATTAATGCCAGAACTAAAGAATGCAACTTTTCTCGGCGTTTTGTGCTAATTTGCTTGAACCAAAATTTATGTTAGTCGTTTGGCCTCCTGCAAGACTCAAAGACCCAGTACTACTGCAAATAATCTGCCAATATTACTTTAAGTCGGTTGTGGTCAGAAGGTAGAAGCCGGTAACTCCTAGCAGGTCGAAAAACCGGCCAGTTAAAAGCATGCGCCATCTACCTGGAAATAAGGAGGTTCAGACTTATTTCTCAACTTTGCGCGTGTTAACTATACTGAAGGTTTGAAGATATCCAGTAGCATAATAAACCGAGCTTAGAAATTAAATATTCCTAAGGAGGTCGACAAAAGTATTCAAAAAGTGATATTCGCCGAACTTACGGTGATGAGCAGGTCGAGCGGTCACCTGAAATTCGGCAGTCGGTGTAGCTCGTATCTTCCAAAGACATATTGCACTCTGTCAGATGGATACTAGGAGTGATCCTTTCATTCTATTTGGAGTCTAGAGTGCAACATGTAGGTAAGCAAGGCACGTTAGAATAATTTGTACTGTGCGTCAGTATATCACAGCGAAAGGAGTATCTTGAACTTTGTGCCCCTTTAAGAAGCGATGGAAAATCCGAAGCAAGATCTGCGGGCGAGGTGATCAGCACACTGTACAGGTGCTGAAATTCATGAAAGACCTAAATCCATGGAGAAATATACAATGCAGGCTGATCGCATGGGGCCAAAAACTAAAATCTAGTGGACGAAAACGCAAAATGTGCGGAAAACTCGAAAAAATAGCTACGGCTGGAGATGAGATGAAAAATGCAAAAGAGGTAGTAGCTAAAGACGCCATCAAGGCTGCCCTTTCGAAGGTTTTGCTTTCTTTAAACTTTTTATCGGACAAAATTGCTCCCAAGAACAAAATGCTAAGCGAAAACAGAAGATGTAACGGTGCCAGGCAAAGGCAACTTTAAAAACGTAAATAATAAACATCAAATAAACAAATTGCATAAAATGTAACAAAGACATTAAATACGTCTTCAATGCTAAGGTACTGTCCCGACCAGATTCTATCTCATTAGCTACTGTTCCATTTCTCATTTTATTTTCGATGTGTCAATTGTAAGATAAATAAAGCCCAATTCTAGAGTACTCGTTCATTCTGATTCTTTTATTCTATTTTATTCGTGCCAATTCATTCGCGTGATTTCGGCCGTTCTGATTATGACAATTTTTTTCTCTTACAGCTCATAAACGATCTTCTATCGATCCGAATGCTTCTGGCGCTTCCAAACAATGGAACCACTGGTTTTGCACGTTTGAAAGCTTCATATCCGCAATGAAAGGCCCGCAAACGAACAAATTGAGCATTCTGGCTAAGTTTATGTGAGTCTGAAAATGTATTAGTAAATGCTTCAGTTAAGAGGCTAAAGTACTGCGAGACCTCTACTCGCGACCAAAAACAAAATCTTCGCTCGACATCTTCCGGCGACCTGCAGACGAGGAGGTGGACAAACCCTAGACCATTCTGCTCAAAAGCTGAAGTCCTTAAGAAAGACTTGCGGTTTCAAAGGTGCTACGGCAGAAGGAAGTCGTGACGATGCCATCAGAGATGAGTTCGTTTGTGAACTGTCATCAGACCTGATCTAAAAGAGATTATCTGGGCTGAAGGCTTTAAACTTCCAGGATGCTTTTGATCAGGCAATATCACCAGATTTAGCAGGAGAACTATCTCTATTTTGTCAGAACCCCCCTCCCCCCACGGCCTGATGATTTGCCGCTACGGAGATCTGCGAAATCAAATCCGGTCCTGTTAGAGCACCTGACGTAGTGGCCTCCATTTTGTCCCAAGACGACTGTTTCTTTTATGGATAAGACAAGCATTCTCGCTTGAAATGTACCGAACGCGACGCGTTATGCAAAGGACGCGATAAAAAGAGACAATCCAAAACCGAGACAATCCCGAAACCGAAAGACCTTCACTCTCTCCTCATATCCGACTACTTCCGTCGTAGCATCGACTACTATTTCCGATTGCCTTTCAAATACTGTGATTGAACTACAGATAAAAGAGGATAGTTCTAAGGCCCTGACGGACACTGGTAGTTCAAAATTACATTTCTTCCAAAGTAGTACTCCCAAATAACTGGAAAGTCCATAAATCTCGCATTAAAATATTCATGGGCATTCATGGTCAACACTAGCCTAACCAGCATGCTGATGGTTATTTATGAATATTCTCGTTTTGCATTTGCATTTGTCTGTCCTAATCAAACTTTCGAAAATGTCATTCGATGCTTGACCAAATCCTAAATCAGTAGGTACTGTTTTGTCTTGTTTTAGTGCCGATGCCTAAATTGCAGAATGAACAAAGCGCGATTCCAGGCTACTCATCCATTCTGATTTTTTTTCGTTCTACTTTGTTCGTGGAATCTCATTCGCGTGATTGTGGCCATTCTGACTACAACGTCGTAGAATGCCTGAATGCCAAAATGACATTACTGGGTCTAATACGCAAACGGAATGGACTGTCAATTAAGAACGGCTGAACAACCACCAATAGAAGATCCAGGTTTTCTCACAATAACATTTCGAATTTTAGACTGCATCAATTTCATCCGATAATGGCAAACGCACTCTCAACAAGACAAAAAACGTGAAAGGACGGAAGAAATAAGGTAGCATACGGTGAAGGCAGTGAGGGTTCACAGTGCTAGTGAATCCGTCAAGATTACACTAGGGACTGACCATGGAATAGATAAATGGACCGCGTTAGTCTAATTCCTTCTATTTTTTGAGTTATAATTAAAAAATTGATCGAATTTCCCAAATCAGCTGAGGCCGGCAATGGCTCGAGGCGTTGGGCTTAGCAGCTCGTGACTACACTAAACGGATTTGTAGCTGCCGGTGTACGCTGTTGGTGCGTTCGATAAGAGTCAGACGCGACTCTACGTGACAATGTACCCATGTATTCATATCGAAAAGTCTCACATTATCATACGATTCTCAAATAGGCCGCACCGATGCGCAGCTCTATCAAGAGAAAGTCGCGTCGGCTCGTTAAATGTGATAGTTGGGATTCGCTGTCTGCACAAGTCCTTAATCTTTACCCCATATGTAAACTACGTCCGTTGGAAAGTAGCTCACTCCATGTCGACCACTGTACTCAATCTCACCAACGGACTGCCGACAACCTTAATGAGGCAAAAGATGTACAGTTTCTTTGTGGTGGACAAATAAACTAACAAACTAGCAGTCCTGGCTTTTGAGGTGGTCAAGTGACAAGACAATACGGCCCAGCCCAAGCTAAGGCTTATTTTGAAAGAGTTCTCTTCCGTTAGCGCCTTTATGACACTCCGGTACGTGAGAACCGAGATCGCACTCTTATCTGGAGTCTGTTTCGTAGAGTCTAGGGACCAGGTCGTATGTTGCACGCGTAGGCGGGCTGTTTGGCTATATCAGTCGCTGCGTTCACACTCGTATCCAGGCGTCTTGATTTTGTCCTCTCAGGTGACAACGGTGGGTGGTGGGACAAAAGTCGCGACTTCACTATTACAAGTGACACTTCGAGCTTAATTTCCTTCATTTCCAGGACCGCAGCCAGTGAATGCGACTTCAGTAGAACACTGCCTGGCGGAATTTCCAACAAGTGTTGGTAAGCACTTATCAAATTAAGATTTTCTTCGTAGACAGTAGTCACTGGCGTCGTAAATAGCAGCATAGTCATAGGGCCTCCCGAAAAAACACGTCTGCTAAGGCGTGCATCAAATGACTGCTACAGTGTCAGCATCAGCACATGCGAATCTTCCATGATCTGAATTTCCGGATGAGATTATGAGGTAGAAGCTCGATGTGCTGACAGACTGCGCGACCTTTGAGCCCCTGCCTATTGGGTTCGTGTCCAAACACATGGTCGCCCTAAAGGGTCATGGCGGGTTTACCTGTGTACTGTTAAATAGTGCATACAGGAAACAGGTGGCAAGTAACTAGTGACATAACGACTAGTCCGCCAGATCTCGCACTTGTCAACGTTCAGAAAAAACCGGATTACGGCTTTCGCTGACCGCATTTTCCGCGCCCTATTCAGAGATGAGATTACCTGTCATCTAACTCTTTACGGCAGGCAACACGGAATACGCGCCCTATGTGAGTTAGACTCATTGTGTCATCCTGGTAAGACGAGCCTACTTTGTTCATTTACAACATTTTACGCAGACATTTTGAAGAAGCGGAACGTCGATCAGAGGTATGGCTGTCAACAGCTTGTGAAGGCCCCAAAAATGACTTTAAGAAAGCATACGATCGACTACGAAACCGCCGCCAAAAGGCTGGCATTGGAGATAACCATGATGGTTAGTTAGCATGCGTACTGTGCATATAAATATTTAAATTTTTTGCCGTTCACTTTAGCCTATCAACTTTATATTGAACTACAACTGCATTTTTAGCCTTGCATACTGTTTTCCTGTAACACTTTAAAGGACAGAAACGAACAGATAGACTATTGGGCGGCCGACCCTTCCAAACAGTCATAAAACGGCAACTGTACATATTTTTACAGTAATAAAACACTGTTGCCTCTCTCTAGGTAGAGGTAGCAGCGTACATTTGCACACCTGTACATGCCATTTTGGTCACTTATTTATCATAGTGTCAATCAATGATGACTTTTGTTTGGTCAGTGAATAATGTTCTACAGTCTTTCTAAAGTAGACTTACTGTTATTAGAGAAACCAAAACGGAAGGGGATATGAGAGCAACGGCAGGGTCACTTATGCCGGAAATAAGGCTCCCGCTTGAGTAAAAACAGAATTAGAATTTAAGAATCCGAGTCAAGTTCAGAGGATGTGGGGAACTTGGACTCGGACCGAGCTTGAATTTTCGTAAGCCCAGGCTATGTTAACCGGTTAACCCAGGCCTGGGTTAACTAATTCAGTTGAACTAATATGGAGGGATATAGGCAACAATGTCTTACAGTTTAACACTCTTATGAGATGTCAAATATCGTCTTTACATTGACAGAGCATTTATGCACATCCATTTCCTTATCCAGATATAATCAAAACAAAAAGCGGCCCAGGCTACAGCTACGCCGGCGACCGCTACTGGTGACTATGACAGGCCTCACTTTCCTTTTGTGTACCTGAATTTCAGCCCATTAAAATTAGCTTTAGACCTGTCAGTCTGTGGGCATTAGATACGAGTTCTGACTTCAGTTCCCAATTCTTTAGCCTGCAATATAAATCAGCATCAAGCCTAAAAAATTATCTACAGATGTTGAAATCAAACGTGACCCGCAAAAGGGAAATAGCAGAGGCTGCGTCCTCAGGGACAGGATTTCAACTAACAGTATACTTTTGGATTTCTAAGATTGGCCGCAGGCGAAAACACAGGATTTGTCAGGAACCAGTGACTTCTAAGAAACTTGTCAAGCTTCTCCTTGAATTTTGGGGAGCACGAAAGACATGCGCACCACGAAGATTCCTCGTGGAATTCTGGAATAGGGAGTTTTTGTCTGGTACTTTCGCAGTATCAACGCCAGTTATATTTCATCTAAATCGTGTGGCCGAAATTAAATGGGTAGGTACTGTAAAACCCTAGCTCAGATTGTCCTAGGTCAATAATCTGTTTCGTATAAATGAATTGATGACATTGCGTAAATTAATGTTTACGGAGTTTTCACCTAATTTCAGCCTGAAGTTTGGGACAAGATTCCATAAAATAAGGATAAGCGCAAAATTCCCTCCCAAAAACGCCATTCATAAAACGTCCATATGTTAATTTAACATTCAAATTCAATCTGTAGATTGTAGATTAGGGTTATCTCATTCGTGGATTCGCGATGTTATTAGCAACAATGGTCGTGGCAAAGAAAGAAGCAGCCGCATCCGCAACTGTAGAACTAGCACTAGCACTCGTAGCCATATGTGAAAGATGGTTAAATGAGCAGTTAGTAGGGACAGAAGTCAGGCTGGATGGGTTTAAGTTTGCCCGCAGGGCTCGAAATTGATGCGTGGGTGGGGAAATCGCGATTTTCATATGTGATGAAGTTAATTACGTCATAGATGGGTCGTCATCGAAAGGGAGCACTGGTCAAGGAACCCTTAGTTGTAACTTGAGAGTACCAAACCAACCGGACCTCTATATCGCACTCGAGTATAGACCACAAGGATGAATGAAGGACACGGAAGATGCGTTCATCATGGCGGATAAGTAAATCTGTCATATCAGACAGGTAATTCTGCTTGAAGACCTCAACCTTCCAGACAATGACTAGGATTGGATGAAATAGAGACGACTAAAAGTGATCTAGTGATCTTAACTGTGTAAATGAAATTGCTATTTGGAATAAACTACCCAAGAAGGTGAAATGTCTACAAAATTATGCTTCGTGTAAGAGAAATATTACTCGATTTTTGCATTCAGAAAAACTCCCACAAATTTCGGGTGCTGAATTCACTGCTCAACTATACCGTAACGATGGCATTTGTTGTCTCTGATCTCTATGGCCAATCTCACAAGGCACAGATTCTTTAGCCATCAGCGACAACTGTTCTTCGGCGCTTTTCTTTGGATCAGCCCCACCTTCGTGAAAATAGTTGGCGACTGATAATATCGGATGCAGTGCTACCCCTCCCTTTCTCCACGATCGGTATTTGATGGACAGCAGTTTATTTCTCCTGAACCCTCCAAGCTATAAAAAACCACCATCAACATTATTTTTATTGTTGTTTTTGGCAGGTGTTTTTTCACTGCTGGCCGGATTTGTGTTTAGCGCTCCCCGACAATACCTGTAAGCCGGCATTAAATGCAGCCGTCATTATTATAACTAGTAAATGAGTGTCACGGGAAACCTAGTTAAATTGTCGGTCGGCATTTTCTCAGACAGATGTCAGGGTGTTCTTAATGATGACGCCAAATCCGAATGGGAAACCATGCACAGTATGGTTCAGCAGAAGAGGATTCTGGGTTCCGTTCTCGACGCTGAAGCCGCGGACGGGAATGCCTCCGTGGAGCACCAGTGGTATTAACTGCCGACACCATCCAATCGACAACGCCGGCCGTACTTGGTCGAAAACGCCGCCAACACTAACGCAGTTTCGACGGCAACGACGCCGCCATCAGCAAGAGGCTCGACGAGAAGAACCGCCTGCACAAAGAATCTGAAACTCGCCAAATCGACGAAAACGGAGCTGCTATCTACCACAGCCGTCGTCTCCTACAACAGCGACTGCGCGAGATACGGGACACCTGGATGGCTCGTAAGACTGAGGAGATCCAAGGATATGCGAACCGCAAAGATTAGAAGAACTTCTTCATCGCTATCAAAGCTGTCCACAGTCAGCCAACCTTAGGCACTGCACCTCTCCTCAGCACTGACGGCTGTGCATGACTTACTGAAAGGACACATATTCTACAGCGATGGGCCGAGAACTTCTGAGGCGACTTCAACCGTATCTTCGCCATCTCCGACTCAGCCATCGACCGCCTGCTTCAGGTGGAGACCAGTGTTGAACTCTACCTCCCGCCTCCCTCACCGAAGCCATCAGGGCCGTGCAAAAGCTCTCCAGCGGAAAAGCAGCCGAATCGGACGCAATCCCTGCTGGGATCCACAAGCGGGGTAGAGCCCAATTCCTGGATCATCTGACTGCGCTTTTCTAGGAGATGTGGCATCAAGGAGAAGTCCTGAAGGATTTCAAAGACGTCACAAGCGTGCATCTGCACAAGCGGCACTGAAAACACCAGCTCTGTGACAAACATCGAGGCATATTCTTCTTGAACATGGCTGAGAAGATCTTGGCTCGCATTATCCTCAACCGCTTGAACAACCACACAGAAAAAGGTCTCTGCCGGAAAGCCAGTGCGGCTTCCGCCGCCATTGCGGGGTAACCGATATGATCTTTGCCGCCCGTCAACTTCAGGAGAAGTGCCAGGAGATTCGGACCCACCTGTACTCTACCTTCGTGGACCTGACGAAAGCCTTCGACACGGTGAATCGTGAAGGACTGTGGAAGATCATGCAGAAATTCGGCTGTCCGGAGCGATTCACTCAGATGGTGCGTCAGCTGCACGACGGTATGATGGCGCGAGTCACGGACAACGGAGTTGTCTCAGAGGCATTCGCAGTGACCAACGGAGTGAAGCAGGCATGCGTGCTGGCGCCTACCCCGGGATCCGCATCGCCTACAGGACGGACGGTCGCCTGCTGAATCAACGGCGAATGCACTTCAATCGCGCGTATCCACAACCACCGTTCACGAGCTTCTCTTCGCCGACGACTGCGCCCTGAACACACCTCGGAAAAGGAGATACAACGCAGCATGGACCTCTTCTCCACCGCCTGCGAAAACTTCGGTCTGGTCATCAACACGCAGAAGACGGTGGTGATGCATCAACCGCAACCCAACTCAGCCACAGACCCCAACGAGCCGCGAACAAGTGTGAACGGAACCCAACTGCAAGTGGTGGAGAACTTCCCGTACTTGGGCAGTACCCTCTCCCGCAACACCAAGATCGATGACGCAGTCGTCAACAGGATCTCAAAAGCCAGTCAAGCCTTCGACCGCCTCCAAAGCACAGTTTGGAATCGTCACGGTCTCCAACTAAGCACGAAGCTGAAGATGTACAAGGCCGTCATCCTGCCGACGTTGCTGTATGGAGCAGAGACCTGGACGGTTTACATGAAGCAGGCACGCCGACTCAACCACATCCACGGCCGATGTTTTTGTTGCATTCTGAAGCTGAGTTGGCAGGACCGAATCCCCGACAGCAACGTCCTGGAACGGACGGGAATCCTCAGCATCTACGCCATGCTGAGCCAACTGCAGCAGCAACTGCGAAGGAGCGGCCATCTCGTGCGGATAGACGACGAGCGACTACCCAAAACGACTCTTCTACGGAGACGTCGCTGCGGGTTCCCATTGCTTAGGAAGTAAAATCCGCCGCGACAGGCACACTCTGAAGTCCTCTCTGAAGCGTCTGCTGATCAAACCGGCCAACTGGGAAAGCTTCGCCCGAGACTGACCACGTGGAAAACATTAAAAACAGGCGCAGTGATCTACGGATTCAACCGCATCGCTGCTGCCAAAGCCAAACAGAAAGCATGAAACTCTTAACTGCGCCTATCCCGCGACGCCAATGCTCAACCGCCGCCGACCTGCTCACGCAGCCAACGGCCCTTACCAGCACCAGTCGGCGTTGAAGGACATCTGTGTGCCAAATGCACCACCCGGACTACGCCGGCCGCCGTTCACCGCAAACTCTGCCTCGTCCTCCTCGCCGATAACCCCCACTGACCGCACCCCAGAATCGCCACTACTATCCCCCTCCTCCTCCTGTTCCTCCTCCTCCTTCTCCTCCTCCTCCTCCTCCTCCTCCTCCTCCTCCTTCTTCTTCTTCTTCTTCTTCTTCTTCTTTTCTACCAATACCGCCATTTTCGACACCAGTGGTGTGGACCCAGTCTATACCTGTCCTCATTGCGACCGGACCTTCACTTCACACATAGGCCTGATCGTTTATTTGCGAATCTATCGCACAGAGACTGACGAACCAGTGCCTGGAGTACCACCCTACACCCGCCGCATCCGTCTCCACTGTCCACATTTTACTCGCAAATTTATTCAGCGCATGGGTCTATTCGGCCACATGCGCGTCCACAAAAACCTGCGATAGACAACCGCTGGCTGCATCAGACCATTACACCCTCCCTCAGCAACATCTCAACACACATCAACATCATCCACCGCAAGCACCCAACTGCCACCTCACACGCAAGTAGATAATGTGTGCTTCGGCTCCCTCTCCATGCGTCCCCTCCTCCCCCCCCCTCCCCAGGTGTATGTGTGATCCGAGTCTAAGACGCAGACGTTGCTCCGATGGCCGTGGCTCGGAAGTCAATCGAGGGACACCCAACCTCAGTCCACACAGTCTGCCCAGCTGTTGTGATGTGTGGAGTAGCGGGCTGGTGGGTTGCGAGGTAGGCTGTCTCTGCCCCTTCTAAAGCTATCTGTGACACTCTAATGCATGTGAGGAGAGTGTTTTTCTACTTCGCTCCTATTGGAGAGTGTTTGTGCCTGTGTGCGTGCCTTATGGGTAGTGCCTCTCAGTCGACGACTCAGTCAAAGATTGTTTGGTTATCCAACCTTGAAGGTTGACTGCAGGGACACGTGTCGCCCTAGTAGGTCAAAAGGTTTGAAAACGTGTGCCATGCCAGCATCAGCAAACCATAGTCCTCGCAGCTTGATATGCGCTGGCAGTTCTCTGGCACCTGGTCTCCTGACGGTAGATGCGTTTGAAATCCCGCTGGGTATATATACAGTTGGTGGGCATGGCTGCCCAGTCGTCCTCGTCCATCCGACCCCTGTTGGGGTGTTGTTGTTGGCCAAGTGCATGTTGTAAACCAGGGGTTGTGGTGGCACGCCTAGGTACGGGTCTGTGTTTGCCAGACACCTGCGTCGTCCCCCGCCTCTAATCTTCTTGACTATGTCTTAACACCGGATCTAGGTGGGCGTGGAGAAGAGAAAGTGCGGTAGATGCTGTGAAAATCTGCTATCACTGTGAACTAATTCACGCGCAAGTCACCGTACCTGCCGCACCTAGCTGCGTAGTACACAGTGGACATCGTCGGAATAGACGGTTGAACTGGCGGTAAGCAGGGCGTCCTGGATTTGGAGGTCCGAAGCATTCATGTCCGCGGGCAGCTAATGCGGCACTACGTTACACTCTCTATTCTAAGTAGGAATGACTTTAAATGACGTCCTCCACATTTTTGGTCACCGTTATCTCCTTAGCAATACTCCGGAAAGTCAGATATAGAACCTCTATAAGGACGGAAAAGACGGCATATATTTTGATAATGCCAGTTAAGCACTGCATAATTACTTAGTTTTAATAGAAAAGGTCAGCATTTCAGTGATACCTTGGGAGCCAATATAAAACCTACGTCTCGTTGTGTCACATAGCATTAAATAACCGAACGATCACATACTTTTGGCAGGCATACGCGCATGTTCTTGCTGAGTAGACAAAAGGCGCATTAAAAGCCATGTAAATGCGCGAATAGTCGCTTTGCATAATTTGTTTTGAGACGGATTACCCGCTCACTCAGCATCCCCGTGTTGGGGTCACAACCTTCGAATTAGAGCTTTTTGGATATGATCTGTCATAAGTTACGGTTCACTGGTCGCATCTAGGAATACACACGGACCAGAATTTTGGTGACTAACCCATCCGATTTTGCATGCCAAACTGTAATCAGAGAGTGAGTAGTTGACAGCCAAATTTGGACGTAAATCTTTCGTCGGACAGCGTACGGAAAATTAGGAACAAGTGAAAATAAAAAAACGTTTGGGACACTGAACAAGAGACCCGCAAATATTGGTTACACCGCATGTTATACCTCATTGCATGTGATGATAGTCCATAGAAGCTATGGGCAGGTGGATAACTTTACTTTGGCTTATTTATGAGCACCGGCTGGAGCATAGTATACGTTTTCGGATAATGTTTTGGCGGAAATGAGCAAAATGACACCATATGTGGACGCCCATATCTGTAGGGCTAAATTCGCTATGGTGAGCTGCCGAATCGCGACACCTTTCTGACGCAAGTAGAACGACGAACGTAGAGCGTTTACAAATGGCTTCCAACCCACATCTGGCAAAAATGTAGGGATCCGAACAAACCATTCTCTGCTTCAAACTACTCAATGGGCCATCCATCGCCGAGAGAAGTTTGAAAGGCAGTGGAACTGTGGAGAGAGCTCCGGGTCTTCTCTAAAAAGCATAGTCTTTTAAAAATCATAGTCTACTTCCATGCTGCACTTGAACGCAAGTATCCCTAGAATAGGGAAGGAATTTTTCAGTTCAGTTCAGTTCAGTTTATTGAGGGAAATGTAGGTCTTCACCTTTGAACTCCCTATTTGTTTACAAGCAACTGCAAAATCTCAAAAACTCGAAAAGGTATCATAAAGTAACAAATAATCGGAAAAGCGTCAGGT